AAAAATTTAAGTTCAATAATAGGAATTTTATTTTCCTGAGAACATTTGCAAACAATATGAAAAACTTGGTTGCATAACAATCAGATTTTTTGCATGATTTTATTGAACATTTACACTTAGCTATGTCAAACAGTTTATCTAAGATTAATTTATGATCAGAAAGTTGCTTAGATGTTCCCCTAACTAACGCCAGATTATATCCTTTTTTCCAGTCATATATGATTCTTTCTTTTCCTCTTTTATCAGAGATAATGGGTATAAGTGAATTAGCTTTTTGCCATAAATATTTTACTGAGGCCCACAATTTTTCAGAAGTTGGCCTTAAATTTTGGTTATTTTCTTCAATCCTTCTAAAAAAGAGACCATATCTTAAAACATCTCTTAAAGTTGGTAGTTCTGACTCTAATAATGTTTTTCCTGTACAAATTAGCTTTGTTAACTTACATTTAACTTTATCACGAGTGTTTTGAGTCATTCTTTATAACTGTAAACTTATTTCTATACAATAAATACATGCGTTATTATTTATTCCTTTGAATAACTAATAAAATTGCTACTTGTGGTCCGAATTTAGCATACATAAACAAAATTTTCAGAAATACGTCATCAATACATTTTAAAAAATTAATTGTGACCCATTTCTATGGTAAAATACCCCCCTTAGTCGCAAAATTTTAGGATCATATTTTGACATTTTTATTGATAAAATAGGTGCAGTTTAAGACATTTATTGATTTAAAATGGTTTGAAGATGGCAAAAGTAAAAAAATTTACAAAACTCTAGGGAAATTATATATTTATAATAAAACTAAAATTTTCAAGCTGAAAATTACCTGACTAAACATTAAATGCAAATAAAAAGAGAATTGGTTCTGATTATCATACGGTCAAAGACATAAAAAAAAATGCCCAGCCGAACCTGAATTCAAAAATATTTCAAAAGTGACTCACCCTAATATATACTTTTGCATGGTAGTCAGAAACATGGTATTCTGAATATGGTTTATCATTCTGTCGACCTAAACTATGGAAGACATTTCAAAAAACGAAAAATTTAAATACTTTAATTTTAATTTTAATTAAAGTTAAATTAAAATTATTAAATACCTTTAATTTTATAATCAAAAATGAATTTTTTTAAATTAAATAAATAGTTATCTTATATTTTTGAAATGAAAATCGAGTTCCATTATCTTTAGTTTTTTTACTTGTTTAATCGACTCTTAATCGATATTTAGCAGAGTTGCCATTATATTTTAATGATTATTAATAAAACTATATGATATTATATATATATATATATATATATATATATATATAATATATATATATATATATATATATATATATATATATATATATATATATATATATATATATATATATATATATATATATATATATATTGAGCAATAAAATTAAAATTTTTTAATTGTTACAACTAATTAAGATCTCTTTGGTTTTGTTAAGTTGATTGATTTTTTTATACTTTTGAAAAAAAAAAACATTTTATGCTAAATTTGTAATAAATTAATAATTTTTATAAAACCTAATCAATTTATAATTGAAAAAATAAATTAAATTTACACTTGCAGCAATTTTTTTTTTTTAAACATTGTCTTATTTTCCTGTTTGTTTATATTAAAATCTGTACGAAGGTAAATTATTTTATGTAGCCTGTTGTTTCAAAGAAAAAAAATCTTAAAATAAAAAATATAAAATCACAATTAAAATATTTAATCACAACAGAAACATGTTGCACGCCTTATTAATTTTAAGGATCGATTTACTCATGCAAGGCTTTTATTAATTGAAATGAAAGTTTTAAATATATACGACCTTAATATTTTTAATATTATATGCTTTATGTTTAAATGTAAAAACAATTTTTCTCCTGTACCTTTTTATAACTTGTTTAACAAAAATGAAAAAACTTTGTACATTTTACGAAATGATAATGACATTCGTCAATCAGCTTATCAAACTAATTCTGCAAAATACTATATTTCAATTAGAGGTGCATTACTTTGGAATAAAATAGTTTAAAAGAACTTTGACTTTTCACAATAAGTTAGCTATCACTCTTTGAAATGAAAACTCAAAAAAATCATTTTTTTATTAGATGATATATTTATATTCTTTTTTTTTTTTTTTTTTGTTTCTTTTTTAACTTTGTATTTAACACTACATTAAAAAAATTTATTATTTAACAATTTAGCAATGGTTGTTAAAGACTCTTGTTAAAGGTACCTTAAAACTGTATAACAAAACCTTTAACAAAAAGTTTAACAATTTTGTCTAAGATATCTTAAAACTGTATAAAACATCTATGTATATACCCAGCAAGCACAATGACGTTGAATTAACGTTCAAACCATGTCGTAAACCGACCATATGCTACGTTGAATCAACGTTAAAATTTGGTTGAATTGGAAAAAAAACCGACATTGAAAACTATGACGTTGAAACAACGTCAATAATTACGTTGTTTCAACGATGTTCTAACGTCATATCATTTACATATCAACCATATTTCAACTTTAAATAGGTGATAATCGTTTGATTCGTAGTTGATACGACGTTAGAAAACGTCGAAACAACGTAAATTCAACGTTGATTTTTGTCTTTTATTTTGGTTAAAATCCAAATAACTAAAAAACTATCTTAACTTTAATTGCAACAAAATAACAAAATAAAAAAGCAATAATTTGCGCAAAGGATATTATACTTCACGTAAAATATTCAGGTACAACTTAATTGCTTCAAGGCACTTTATATAAAATGCAAACAAAATAAATTGTTTGAAAAAAAGTTTGTTTTAACAATACTTTTAGAACAATTAGAAAAAAAAAAAAAAAATGTATATATATATATATATATATATATATATATATATATATATATATATATATATATATATATATATATATATATATATATATATATATATATATATATATATATATATATATATATATATATATATATGTATATATATATATATATATATATATATATATATATATATATATATATATATATATATATATATATATATATATATATATATATATATATATATATATATATATATATATATATATATATATATATATATGTTTATATTTATATATATGTTCTTATACTCATATGTATGAATGTATATATATATATATATATATATATATATATATATATATATATATATATATATATATATATATATATATATATATATATATATATATATATATATATATATGTATATATATATATAAATATATATATATATATATATATATATATACATATATATATATATATATATATATATATATATATATATATATATATATATATATATATATATATATATATATATATATATATATGTTCTTATACTCATATGTAGTATATATACATATATATATATATATATATATATATATATATATATATATATATATATATATATATATATATATATATATGTATATATATATACATACATATATATATATATATACATACAAATGAGTATACGAATATATATATAAATATATATATATATATATATATATATATATATATATATATATATATATATATATATATATATATATATGTATATATATATCTATTTTTATCTATATATATATATATATATATATATATATATATATATATATATATATATATATATATATATATATATATATATATATATATATATATGTTAGCGATGCATCGAGTAATCGGTGTCGGCATCGGCTAAATTGGTTCAATCGGTCCTTTTTTGCACAATCGGTTTCGGTATCGGCGTCGGCCTTTTTTACCGATTTTCCTACCAATGGCATTTTGATATTTTTCTCCTGCATTATATTTTTGTGCAATATTATAATAATTAAATAATAAATAAACTAAATTTTGTGCATTACTCAGAAAATTTTGGATAATTTTTTTTTTTGATTTTGTTTACAGGCAAAGGCTTTAAAAGTAACCTATTTAAGCATTGTTATCTATATATTTTAAATTCTTTTTCACTCCCAATAAGATTTCAAGCAACCACTATCAAGTTTGGAGTTGCGAGAAAAAAAGAATAGAGTTATAGGGCAATGAAGTTGTAGACAGAATATTTAAAAAGTTGAAGGTTGTATGAGTCATGAAAACATAAAGTTGGGGCAGAGTTCCAAAGGGTTGAAGTGCGTGGAAATAAGCTAGACAAATAAACGTTTTTGGAGCATGAAGAGACAAATACAGTCGAAGAATGAGACTTTAATGTCAAGTCAAGCAAGAATGAGTTTTGACTGATGAAACTAAAGATGAAACTTTTTTTGAGCAGCAGCCATGATAATGTTTGTAGAAAAGAGAAAGAGATGCAACTTTACGATGATGGCAAAGAGGCTTAAGCTTTGCAGATAAACCGGGTCCAACTCTGTTTACAATGCGTTTTTAAACCTTATCTTGAAGAGAAAGAGCATCATTAGAAGAACCAGCCCAAATACAATAACAGTATTTTATCCAGGGACGAATAAGAGATTTGTAGAGGTAGGGCATGGAATCAGGAGTGAGAAAATGGTGAGCATGATAAAAAGAAGCAACCTTAACAGATGCTAATTTAGCAATCGATTGTATTTATTGTTTCCATGAAAAGTCAGTAGTTAATGATAATCCAAGAAGACGCAAAAAAGTGGAATCTGTGAGAGAGTTGCCATTCATCAATAGAGGAATGTCAGTCAAATAACAGTAAGTTATTTGACTCGAGATGGAATGTGAAAAATTTGTTTGTCAAAGACTCTAAGACCTTGCTAATAACAGAAAGAAGACTGATTGGACAATAATCGGAGGGGTCAGTAAGTTTACCAGAGTGTTTAATAATTACAACAACAGATGCCATTTTCCAGCAGGCAGGAAAACAAGATTCAGTTAAGCACTTAATTAATAGTTTAGAGAAAATTGAATGGAGTTCTGAAGAACAATTTTGTAAGACTGTGACAGGAATGTTGTCTGGACCACAAACCATAGAAGAGTTTAATCGAGATATGACTATGAGTAATAGAAGTTGAAATGATTCAAATGTCTAACATTATGTTAACTTGTTTAATTAGAATGAAAGGAAAAGAATGACCATAAGATTCGAAAGCCAGATTAGTAGAGAATTTTTTTGCAAATAGTTCATCCTTATTTCGCGAATTTAAGTAAAGCCAAGTATTAAGTATATTACTAAATTTATTTTTTTTCATTTCAATACACCTCCCATAAAATGATGATTCTAATTTAGTTATGGCTACAACCCATTTTTAACTTTAGAACTCAGAAACACGAACCTTGATGAACAATGCCGCTGTGTGTAAAAACAAGTTAAACGTTGTATTATCAGGGACGTGGTGTGGATCCAACATTAAAAATTAAAACAACTCTAAAAACAATTTCTTTATCTAAAAATAATTTATGTCTAAACAACATATGATTGTTGTTTAGATATCTGAATTACTAATAAATTAATAAAGAGTTCTTTGTAAGGGTTAGGGTTAGGGTTAGGGTTAGGGTTAGGGTCATGGTTAGGGGTTAGGGTTAGGGTTTATTTGGCTTTTATTTGAATCCAAGTATTTGTTTACCAAAACCAATTTAAGGTTGTATGGTTTTATATTTTTAAATTTTTAATAATTAGTTAATTCATCAGTATCGGCATCGGCTAAAAAAGTGAAATCAATATATCACTATTATATATATATATATATATATATATATATATATATATATATATATATATATATATATATATATATATATATATATATATATATATATATATATATATATACATATATATATATATATACATATATATATATATATATATATATATATATATATATATATATATATATATATATATATATATATATATATATATATATATATATGTATATGTATAAACATACACATTTACATATATATGTGTGTAATGTATGTGTGAATATATATACACACATACATTGCACACATACATATATATACATACACATACATACATACATACATACTTACACACATACACATAAACACATATACATATATATATATATATATATATATATATATATATATATATATATATATATATATATACATACATACATACATACATACATACATACATACATACATACATACATACACACGTAAATTTACACATATACCATGTAATTCACACCCATGAAATATTACAGTTATAAAAAATATCTTTTCAACATTTATCTAACTATCTGCATCACAAGTCAAGCCATATGATGTTGTTAAATTGCTAAATTTAAAACTTTATAAAAAGGCAATAAAAGGCCTTATATATATCTAGAAAAGTCACGCATGCGTTTTTGTGTTCTCAAAATGCAATACGAACAGTCGAACTCGTAATATAGGCATTGAATTAACGTGGAATCAACGTCGATTTTATTTTGATAGTTTTAAACAAATTTTAAACGTTGATACACTGTTAATGTTTGGTTATACGACGTCGCGGCTAAAAATCAACCGTAAATCAACTTTGAAATAACGTCGTGTGTCCACTGGGTATAATGGAACCCTTTTTCTTTTTCTTTTTTTCTTTAAATTGAATAATGTTTTCAATTCTTAGTTCTTAATTATTTGTTATTTTCAAGTATGTTAAGTAAATATTCCTTTTGAAAGTTTATTTATTTTTAGAATATTTTATTAATACGAAATATTAACATTTAAATATTTTAGCGGTTCTCGACGACAAGGCCATATGGTCTTCTACAAGTTCCCGCGTTCTTTTTTTTCTTAAAACGATCATGTATATATATATATATATATATATATATATATATATATATATATATATATATATATATATATATATATATATATATATATATATATATATACATTGTTAGCGAATATTTATTAAATCACAATTAAACATAAATTAGTGTTTATAGTTTAAAAATTTTTATTGTTAATTGTTTGATCTGATCTTAGCTATTTTACTGATAATTCTATTGTTTTTTCAAGATAAAATTTTAATGTTTTTGTTAACTTTATTATTTTAATAACTTTAATTTGCTTTACATAAAGTATATTTAACTATATAATTTTGAAATTTAATCATCAAGTTACTAAAACTATATCAAAAAAAAAATGATGATTTTAAATTTGTAGTCGGTTTCTATACAAATTTAGTCGGTTAGTCGGGTATTTGACACATTTCAGTTGGTTAAGTTTTAGTGTCGAGGACCCATTTTTTTTTATTTCGGAAGCCAGTCTGGTACTTTTAAAGAATTCATCTTCCCCCTCCCCCTCGTTTTATTCGTAGAATCGCCATGGTATACAAGCAATAAACAAAAAACTCAAAATTAAAATTAAATTAAATTTAATTTTTCTTTTTTCAGCCTTTTAATAATTTGTACTGTGGAGAAATGAATACATGATTGTCTAAAGACTAAAAACAAATTCTAAAAATAAAATATTGGCAACCACATGTCCTTGTATATACATAACACATAAATTTATATATGCATGAAATATTAAAATTTTGGGCCTTGTATATACATAATACATATTTATATTTGTATATATACATATTTCACATGCATGAATATATTATTACGTACACAATTCAATATTCAATTCAGTTCAAATTATATATTCTGATATAAGTTGTAAAATTTCAAGGTCTTTTACAACTAGCACTAGTATTAATCTAAAGTAAAAACTTTAAACATTACAATAAAAGTGATCATAATAACAATAATAATAATAACAATAATAATAATTGTATTGATAATAATTATAGAAATTATAATAACAATAACAATAAGATGTCAATGAAGAGGAATATTATTAGTAACAATACTAACAATAATTACAAAAATATTATACAATCAATATTAAATAATAGTATGTATTTAATAAATGTTATTATTAGTAACCTTGATAATAACAACTATATAGTATAAGTAGTAAAAAAACTTAAGAAAAAATTAAAAAAAAGCAATAATAATACTTATTAAGTTATAAATAAAAATAATATCTTACTAATAACAATAAAAGACTGTTATTAATATCAAAACTAACAATAGCAATAAAAATATGAGAACAAAAATTTAATAATAAAATTAGTAGGTATCAAGAGAGTAGTATTAATAAAAGCATAACATCATATACATATATATATATATATATATATATATATATATATATATATATATATATATATATATATATATATATATATATATATATATATATATATATATATATATATATATATATATATATATATATATATATATATATATATATATATATATATATATATATATATATATATATTATTTTAAAACATCAAAAATACGATTTCTCTCAACACTAATAATTTTTTTATTATTATAGAAATTTTCGCTGGATTTTAGATACCAGCTTCTTCAGCTTGTTAAATGTTACAGTAATTAGTAAATCTTTATAATTTAAATTAAAACGTTGCTATTGACGTCAGCGGATGAATGGCTTCTTTTTCGTTGAAATTTAAAAAATGGCGTCAAAAACTTAGTTTTTACGTATTGACCCTCATCGAGATTAATCCTGCCATTTTTTGCAGAACACATGTTTTTTTGTATTTCTAGGGCTTCTTTAACTTTTCTTTCAAATTTTTTATTTTCTACTTTCAATGTTTTTGTTCTTAAATAATTTCTTTTTTGCAAAATGTTTTATGCAGAGCTAATGCAGATTGATGCTGCTTATTTTCATCAATGCTTTTTTTGTGTTGATGCATTCGTGTGTTTACTTTCATTTTTGTTTCGCCTACATACACTTTTGAACAGTTGCATTTGATTATATATGTTCCTGGTTGACTGTTATTAGGTAATTTTGATTTAATTTTTGATGTTAACAGGGATCTTAAGTTTGGGTTTGATTTGAATACCGCTCTGTAACCAGCTTTTCGGAATATTTTCCTAAGTTTTGGCGAGAGACCGGGTACCCATGGTAAGGAAATTACAGGATAATTATTGATTTCAGATGGATTTGTAACTTTATTTTGTCTTTTGTGTTGAAACTGCACAATATTGATCATTTTAGTTTTATCGTTACCATTTTCAATAAACACTTCGATTAGAAAATTTATTTCATTTTGCAAGTAAGACTTACTACAGATTGAGTAAGCTCGGTGGAGAAATCCTTTAAAAATAGAGTTCAAGATATTTGGATCATGATTTGAGTGTGGCTTAATTTGAACGTTAGTGATGGCATCTTTTCGATAAACTCCGTACTCATACTTTCCTGTTTTTTTATTCATAATTTGTATATCCAGATAATTTAGTGTTCCTAACTGGTTTTTCATCTTCAATTGTATACTAGATGGAAGGATGTTGTTGATTTAAAATGTATTGGAAATGTTTTGCGTGGTTGAGATCTGGAAACCTTGCTTGACTATCATCGACATATCTTAAGAACGATTTGAGGTTAAGTGCAGGGTTGAAATTTAGTGCAATTTTAATTGCATTGTTTTCATGGACTTGTAGAAATGATTCTGCAAGAACGACCATGAACGAAAGTCCAATTGGACCCGAGTTTTCCATTATATGAATTTCATTGTTCCAATGAAAATAATATAATATTATTGATATAAACAAAGTTCTATAAGTTGTTTTATTTCAGGTATACTTAGTCTTGTTAATTTATTATATGTTGTATTATTATTTATTTTTTTTTTAAATCCAGGAAAAATTTCTATAATAATAAAAAAATTATAAGTGTTGAGAGAAATTGTATTTTTGATGTTTTAAAATAATATATAAATATACTCTCACACAAGATGTTATCCTTTAAATCATATATATATATATATATATATATATATATATATATATATATATATATATATATATATATATATATATATATATATATATATAAATATATATATATATATATATATATATATATATATATATATATATATATATATATTTATATATATATATTA